TGTTATTTAAATTTAGAGTATATTTGAGAGATGCTTTTAGCCAAAAACTAACTTTTTTTACTTTAGAGCCTATTTGACATTGTTGTTGGGAGGCCAAAAGCCCTAATTTTGAGAAAAAAACATTTTTGTTGAAAAAAATAAGTGTTTGCCAAATCAATTAAAGTTCTTTTAAATAGAAGTAGAAGAAGTTTTTCTGTTGTTGGGAAAAAACTAAAAATTTCTGCTTTTTGAATAAAGTAGAAACAAAAAATTATTTTCATAAGACTAAAATATCATTTTCATATATACATATTGACCAATTTATTTCTTATTAATTAATTAGCATATTCATAAGTTTGGTTAAATTTGATTTAAGAATTTTATTTTTAATTTTTTTATAATAAATTTTATAATTTATTTTACGTTTATATATTATATATTATATTATGTATTATTTTGTAACACCTCGGACTATGAAAAGGGCTAAAGAGGGTTCGTGCAAGTCACCCATCAGTTTTAAGTTTTGAGTCAAATGCAAACGATCATATCTCTTAGTACATAAAGAATTAGGTGGCCCATGACCTATCAAATTAAAGGTCTTTGGGTTCTCTTTCTAATGCCGCCAAGTTTGCTTAATTTTGAGCTCGGAGTAAATGTTATTCCCGTTTTGGTGAAGCCTCTCTTTTAAGACACCTCAATCTTTTTTAGAGGGGCAGATTGGTCTCTTCCCATCCCTTCTAAGCCTAGACACATTTTTCTTCACCCAATTAAGGGTCTAATTAGTGTTAAACCATCTTTTCACGTTCTTTAACACTTAGAGAAACTAGAGCAAGGTTCAAATAAGAGAAAAAAAACTAGGTTTCAAGCGTTCTTGAAGATTCTGTTTATTTCGCCAAGAACCTTTGTTCTTTCCAGATATGTAAGGCTTCTCACAGTGTTGGACTTGTTCGTCCTCACGTCCTACATCTCAATTTAGTCAATAGATTGTTACATCTAAAAGATTCATTCGTAGTTCTTGATATTGAGTTCGATTCTTTAACAATTGAGGCTTTTTTATTCTTTTTTTATGTGAATATTATTGTGTTGTTCATGTTTAGTATCACATGAACCCTATTGATTTGATAAAGTTATGTTTCTAAAGGAATTGTATGAAAGTTCTCATGTATTTGTGTTGGGTTTGAGAATCAAGAAGAGTTTAGGAGAAATTTCTCAATTCTAAACTAAGATGGGGTCCTAATTTAAGCTTGAAAATTTATCAGGGTGTTGGGGAAGGGCATGGGGAAGCGTGCCATGATAGCACCAAGACATGACTTCTGAAGTTCAGGCCTTGGGGCGACGCGTGCGCCAAGGCCTGACTTTTCCTTTCCTTGTATTATCTCCTATAGACTCCATTTACCTTTGAAAATTCCGGCATATCTTAATCACCTGTCTTAATGCACATTCAAAACTAAAATGAGTTTAAGAGAAAAGTTCAAGAGTTTTATTGAGTTATTGTTGAGAATCTTTTGTAACCAACAATGGTCTTAAACTAATTTTCTAAGAAAGAAAAGATTAATGTTGAGAAGAGTTCTATTCATGATTGAGAAAGAATATACAGGGAACTAAGTATTTCCAAATGTACCACTTTTACATTGGAAAAGAGAAACTTTGATTTTTAAAACGAGTAGGCGAGACGTTGTATCATCACATAGCTCAACTGATGGTTATCGGTTTGAGAATATCGCAAATAAGAGTAAAGAGTAACTTATTGTATTTTTATACACATCCTTGAGTTAGTATCTTTTATTTATGAAGCTTTAAACATTTCATCTTTTGTTATTGATTTGTATTGAGTTGGATTGAGGTGAGTATTCTTTCAGTCTTATCAGTTCAGTTATCTATGCATTTTGTTCTCTTTACATACTCATACATTCCATGTACTGATATCATTCAACCTCCATCTTATTATGATGAAGATACATGTGTTCACGATCATCAACTGACGCTTCGTTGAGATCATTTGCCACTCTAGTTAGCTTTGGTGGGCCTTCTTGCATTCCGGAGGATTTTTCTTTTTCCTTTCAGTTCAGCCCCTTTAGGTTTTTGTGGGTCTTGTCCCAACATCCATGTTGAACTATAGATGTTTCATAGATAGTTAGAGTTAAGGAGTCTCTCAACATTTTCCCTTTCGTTTGGGATATTTTGAGACTGTTTTGTAAAGTATTATTATTATTATTGCAATTAAGTATTTTCCTGACAGTTTGAGTTAAGTATTTGCTTGAGTTTGAATGTTCTAAATTCTATTTTATAAGCTTGTTATCGCTTGAGTAAATCTTCCGCTAAGTAGTAACCATGCCAAGGGTTCGCTTGGGGACCAAAAATGCTTCTCGAGTGCCAGCCACGTCCAGGGTGTTGGCTCGGGGCGTGACATATTTTGCAGAATTAGAAAAAAGATACGAACAATATTTTTACAAGATAAGAAAAAAAAAATAACAATTAAAGATTTTTGTCTCTCAAAAAAGATATAATATTGATTGAAAATTTAAACATGTACATTTTAATTTAATAAAAACAAACATTTAATTATTTTTTTATAATAGATATTTAAAATTATTTCTCTCTATAAAATAATTTTAATATTAGAAATACATTAGTAGTTGTCCCTTTTTGTAATTTGACTTTCAAAAATGTTATTTTAAAAAGATTAGTCAAACACAATTTGCTTATGAAAGACACTCTTCAAATGAATTAGCTAAACACAAATTGTTTTTTTCTTTTCAAAAAGCACTTTTCTGAAAAGGCATTTTTGAAAATTGCTTCTAAAAATAAGTTGTTTTTAGCAGCAATACCGAAAAAGGTAAAAGTAAAAAGTAGATAGCTACTTACTTTTAACTTTTGGCTTTTAACTTTTAAGTCATTTAAAAGAAATTTATCCAAACACCAAATTTTCTCTTTAATGTAGTTATGATCTAAGATGATCGAATCCGGATGTGGAATTAGATATCGGAATTTTCATGATCTATATTTGAGATTCCGGGATACAAATATGGGTCTAAGAATTCGACTAAAAATAGAGTTGTTTTTCTAAATTATGAGACATTGTGGAAAACTTACATGATAAGTCTCACTTCTAAATAGTAGGAATAAATAAATATCACCATATCATATTATATTTATTACATTCATATATATATATATATACACGTGACGTTTTTACTTCACTTAAATAATACACTTCTAATAATTTTAAACAAAAATAGAAAGTATACATATTAATAAGAATTAAAAAAAATGAAAATAAATACAGATATTATGTCTCTTTACATTCTTTGAATCCTTATTTTTTAAAGCCCCGTCATCTCAATTAAATAATAATAATAACAAAGATTCAAGTTTGCCCATTTACTTTTCCTAATAAAATTGTTAATGACCATTTGTGACATTTCACATGGAAATAAAAGGATTTTATTGAATTGCCATCAATGCATTATTGAGTATTTTAATTTGATTGTAATAATATATCTAATTAAATCATCTTTCTCTTCAAATTACACAACAATCTCTTAATCTTTCTCTTTTTTATTTGAACCACTAAGAAGACTAATTAGTTGTGTATTTTATTAATAAAAAAGCTATCTCGAATACAAAGGAAAAGAAAGCTTAAAAGTAAAAGAAATAAAATCTCAAAGTAAACCATTAACTACTCTTTAAAAATTAATGAAATAATTATAGTGCCAGAATGATGTTGTTTGACTTAATAACTTTTTTTTAATATTTCAGGCCCATATTTTTCCTCACACATTGTTGTCATCAGAAGGTATATTTGTTTTTAATAAAACTCCTCCAACATGTTATCTTCTTTATCTTTTTCACCTTTAGTAGTTTAATATTGTTTATATTTTTTTATGACAGAAATTTAGAGACTATCATAGTTAGAAGTTAAGGTATGTGTTAGCGATGATAAGAATATTAGATTTATCCAAAATGGCTTTTTATAATTTTAGATTATAATGCAAAGCAAAAGACATATAAGCTAACGGTCATCATGTATATCATTTAGTAAAGAAAATTTATAAAATAATTCCCTATAAATAAAAATTATATTATATCACTAATTTTTAATTCTTAAATATATGGATAATATTTAACTGATAGTTGGGGGTCCAAGAAAAATCTTTTAGCTCAAATGATATACAAACTGATCATTTATTTTTTTTAGAGAATTTACAATAGATGTTCATTTTGGTATAGAACCTTCAATCCTTATTATGGATCGTAATTTTAATTATTTCACACTCTTATATTCATGTTACTTTCATGCAACAAATCTATCCTTTTCATATTTAATTATTTTAAATAATTATAAATGTTGTTTTCAATGCTTTACAATTTTTCTATTGAATCCAGAGGTTGTCCGAAGAAGCTTCATTGGATTTGTATTTTCTATAGTTATCAATTTTCTCTTATTTTCATCAGTCTCACTTGCCATGTACGTACAATATCTATAGATGGTAGATACATTTTTCATTTTGTTGCTTGTATTTACGTATCTAATTAAAGTTTATAGTTTAGAATATCTATTATTTTCTATACAATTCTGACGTCCAATTTGTTTTTGTTGCTTTATTTTCTATTTGTCACGAGCATGAACACTGAAGTGTTTTTGTTCAATAGTCAAATATCATATTCACTTATTTTGAGCTTAACTGTCAAATAGCTAGAAAAGTGTCACATTCATGAAACTTCTTTTTTAATTTATCTTTTATTACTCAATATGTGTTGCAATAATATTAGATAATTATGTAAAATTTTATTCAAAATTACTTAGAATACACGTGTCCAAAAATTAGTATATATATATATATATATATATATATATATATATATATATAAATCTGGTAAATAAGCTAATTTTTTGATTGGGGCAGGGGAATCCAATCAATCTCATATTGATTTCTGTTTTGCAAGAAATGAATTGAGTGATCTATAAAGGCAATTTTTCTTAATAAGCAATCCAATTCCCTACTTTGGCTTTAAAAAAAATGATGAAGGAGGAGGAGGAGTATAAAAAGGAGTTTATATCCATTCACATTGGCCAGACTGGTATTAACCTTGGCAATTCTTGCTGGGAACTTTACTGTCTTGAACATGGAATTCAGGTTCTATCTTTCTTTCTTTCTTTTCAATGCGTGCGCTCGCACAATTATATTTGATTCCTTAATTATTTACCATTACACGTTTGGGTGAGAATTAAAGAAAGATTTTCTTAGCGGATTTAAGATTTGATTTTTATGAGTTTGAGTTTGGAATTTTACATGGTCGATTTGATTTGATTTAATGGGTTCAAAACATATTATTTGTACTTTGTTATTAATGCATCTTCACCGATCAAGAACTACGAGATCAATCTTTCTACACAAGAGTTTATCCAAACACTTATTTATATTCTTTATTCAAAACTACCTTCATGGTGGGGTTAGGCTTGACCGCTACCTTATATATAGTAAAGTACGTGAGCACGAGGGATGTGAGGTCTAACATCTCCAAGAATACAGAGATAAGGTCTGCGTATACTCTATCTTCCTCAGAAAGATGGTCAGGCCACCTGATTGATTACCTTCTTTGTAGAAATGCTCAATCTTTAAAACGAGGGAGTGTCTTAATAAGAGCTTTGTAGGAGGGGTGGATTATAGAAACTCATAAACTTCAAATTTTAGATCCGTGTTACCAACCAGTTAGTGATCATTACAAATTAGTACTAACTTTTATGGTAGAAATACAAATGTACTTATAATTGTGTATTGGTAGCCTGATGGTATGCAGAGTACTACTGAAGATGGAGATGATGATGGTGATTACAGGTTCCGTACATTCTTTAGTGAAACAAGTTCAGGGAAGTTTGTTCCTCGTGCTCTGTTTATCGATCTTGAGCCTAGTGTTATTGATGAAGTGAAAAGTGGAACAAATGGCCAGCTCTATAACCCTCAACAATTTATCTGTGGCAAAGAAGATGCAGGAAATAACTTTGCTCGTGGTTACTACACTCGTACGTATTGATTCTAAATATGGACCTTTTAACACATGACGACAATTCTAATCTTTTTTTTTAAAAAAAAAAAAAACAGTTGGAGGGAAGATAATTGGTGAATGTTTAGATCGTATCAGAAAGCTTGTGGATGATTGTTCTAATCTGTCGGGTTTTGTGATCTTTAACTCGGTTAGTGGAGGCACTGGTTCGGGTTTCTGTTCACTTCTGTTGGAAAGCTTGTCAACTGAGTATGAGCCAAAAGAAAAAATTGCATTTACTGTGTATCCTTCCCCTGATGATGAGTTTTCACCATCTATTTTGGACTCATATAATACTATTCTTGCAAGTTATTCCCTCAAAGAACATTCCAATGTTACTCTCATGTTTGATAATGTCTCTGTTTCTGATATATGTCGCCGCTCTCTTGATATTGAAAACCCCACCTATGTTAACATGAATCGACTCGTCTCTCAGGTATATATATATTTGATCATCATGTCTTGTTCTTAAGGGACGTCTAATAAAACGGATAATGTAACTAATTTATTTTCTTATTGTTTGTTTTGATTAGGCCATCTCCTCATTAACTGTTTCAATGAGGTTTGAAGGATCAACATTTAATCAAAATTTACGGTCCTTTTGTGATAGCACATGTCTAGGATTAATTAGATTTGTGGGTTGTTCATATGTTCCGGTTTTGTCAGCCAAAGAGGTTCAACATAAACAACATTCATTTGTAGAACTTACTAATGCTGCATTAGAACCCTCGTCTTACATGGTTAAGTGTGATCCATATAAGGGAATGTATATGAAAAACTTGATAGTTTACCGCGGGGATGATGTGGATTTTGATGAAGTGGATAGTGCGGCATCTATGGCCAGACCAAGAACTGGATCTGGATTTCACTATTTCGATACTTCTTATAGGTCTGGCATCAATTATGTGCCCGTGACAGTCTATCCGGGAGGCGATTTAGCAACCGTGCAGAGGGAAGTGTGCGTTGTATCCTGCACGACGAGTATCCAAGACGTTTTTACCCGAATAAGTCACAAGTTTAATCATATGTATGTCAAGAAGGACTTTCTTCATTCGTATTTTTGTGAAGGTATGGAGGAATATGAGTTTTCTGAAGCATATGAGGAGATAGCTACAAAACTTGTAAAATTATGCCAGGTGTTTGAAAACGAAGATCCATAGATGATTGAGGCTAATGGCCTAAGCCGATACTCGTAGTCGTACGAGGGTGTTTGATTAAGCTTATAAACCCATCAAAATTAACTTACAACTGTTTTTTGAAATTTTGCCTTTTTAAGGCATAACTTTCTACTATTATAGAAGAGTGACTTTAATTTTGGGTATCAACATGTGTGCTTTGTCATTTCATGATTGGTTGTTTTTTTTTTTTTGTTTTTGTTTTGTTTATTCCAATGCATAATATTAAGAGATCCACAAAATTATCTATGCACAATTATAAATAAATCTATTCCTTTGTATTATTTGTTCATATTTTTATTTACACAGTTTTTAAAAAAAATCATAAACAAAAAGAATATTTTACTAATTTACCTTTTAATTCTTTTTCATATTTTTCGTTTGCTTTTTACTTATCACATTTAAACTTGACATATTCATTAAAAAAAAAAACAATGATTGACATGACTATTGAAGAGTATTTTTACTAATTTACCTTTTAATACTTTTTCGTTTACTTTTTACTTATCACATTTGAACTTGACGTATTCATTAAGAAAACAATGATTGACATGACTATTTTACAATATTAACCCTAATAAGTAATAATTGATGTTAGTATTGTTGGATATTTTGCAATATATAAAAGTCTTAAATTAAATAAATTGCTCATGAAAGAACATGATTCTTATAAAAAGTCATTTGATCATGAAAGAACATGACTCTTATGAAAAGACATACGTTCATGATAGAACATAACTCTTATGAAAAGTCATCTCTTAAGTTCTATAAATATAAAGACTCTCTATAGGTTGTCTAAGAAAAATTTGCATGTATAAATAAAAGATTTTGTATTTATTTGTATTTTTCCAATATGTATACGGACAATATCTCTTTAAAGAAAGTGATTTTACATGCCTCAAAGCCATCTTCTTCGTCAATTATATTTCCTATTATTTTTTCTAACAAGTATTAAGTCTTGAAAACTAATTTAGAAAATAAGTAATTAATGTTAAGGATAAACCGCTACTGAAATTTGAACCCTTTATTTTATGGTAGATGGAACACTTAATGGAAACTATAATAATTCATATTCGAATCAAATGAATTCAATTTAATAAATATTATTTAAATTAATTGAATTATAATTAAATCTTTATTTACACAAGGCCCGTGCTTGCACGATCTTATCATCCTCTAGTTTATCTTATACATATGACTTTCCATTTGTAGAGCAAGATTTTAAGAGAATTTTTGTCATAATTTATATCACTGAATTTATGTCGTGCTGTAGGGGTCAACTTTTGGTTTGATTTGATTTTTTAAAAATAATATTAGTTATGATTAATGTATTTCAAAAGATAATTTTAATTCAATATCATTTAAAAATTAAGTCTCTTATTTGTCTAATATAATTTTTTAATTTTAAATAATTAACTTTTATTTTTAAAATTTAATATAATCTTAGAATTACAATTGTAATTATATTGAGTTAAATAAACAGACCAAACTAATAATTATTACCTAATAATTACACTAATTTCAATTATTCGAAGCAATAGTTTAATTTTGTTATTGACAAACTTGTTGACTTATAGTAGCGGGAAGAGTCTGGAACATCTTTGTCCTTTTCTAATTTTTATAGTAGTAGCTGGAAGAGTGTAGAATTCACCGGAATTAATGGCATCTGCTCTGATCAAATCTAGAATTAACTCTGCCCTCCGCGGCGGTGCATTCAAGAGAAATTTCTCTTCTTCCGCCCACCACGATGAGGCTCGTAAGTTCATAATAATCAATCTCCCCAATATATTTTTTTTTTATCATAAATATTTACTACGAAATGTGCTCGAAGAGAGTTGTATCGATATATAGTTAAACTTCTCTATAGCAACTTCGTTTGTGTGGAAATATTTTGATTGTGTGAAATGTTGTTATATTGAAACATATAAAATAGACTTAAATTATCATTTTTCATGAGTTCTAACTTCTATATCTCAATTATTTATTATTCTTTCTACCTGTCTAAACTATCACTCTTTTTATATTTAAAATACGCTTCAATGTTGAGGTGACCAAATATTTGTTCTCAATGATAACATGTGGCGTGCGTAGGTCAATTCAACATTGAAGTGTATCTTAATACTATGAGAGTGATAGTTTATGAATCTAAATGAAATAATGGATAGTTGAGGTATGAAATTTATATTTTAAAAAAAAAGTGATACCTTAGGTGATTTTTTTGTCATTAACTCTACCATAGCTGTTAGAGTGGGTTAGAATTGGGGAAAACTAAACAAATTGGATCCATTAGGAAAAGTATTTATCTAAAGTGGATCCAATCCAATATATTTACCTGATTGGACCCACAATCCAAACTATTTATCCGATTGCCCCTTGTTCTATTTACTGAATCATTGTTTCTTCCTCTTTGATATCATTAGAGTATATATGTATATATATATTTTGTTGGTATCAAACAGTAAATGCTCATTAGTAATTAAAAATAGGGGTTATGAAAGTAAGGGGTAACCGCTTATAAATAGTTTCCCTTTTTGGGTGTAAGTGTTCGTTTCCCGAAGAATTTCACATTATATGAGTTAGAGTTTCACATTGGTTGGGGAATGGACCAACAATTCTCCCTTCTTGAGTTAGCTTTTGTAGTTGAGTTAGGCTTGAGTGTTATATCTTTACATTGTATCAGAGTCAGACTTATCCTTGATTGGGCTCACAATCCATGCTCCAGTTGATCCTATACATGAAAGGGGTATTAGAGTAGGTTAGACTCTCAACGTGAACATTCATCAACTAGATGGAGCATATACCATCAACATGTTCAACTAAATTCAATATTCCGGATACAGAGTATAAATATATACATTTGTAAAATCACTAAATTTCGATGTGATTGAAGTGTTAATATTGAATGGTTTGTGTGGGCAGGTGAAGCAGCTAAGTGGGAGAAAATTACTTACGTTGGAATAGTTACCTGCGCTATTCTTACAATCTTTAATCTCTCTAAGGGTCATCCCCACTATGAAGAGCCTCCTGTAAGTGTTAATATGCTGTTTTCTGTCTTCAAAATTTCGATAGCACAACTTCACATGAAAACATAAATTCATATTGACAATATGTTTCGGAGGGATTTCCACTGTTCCTGTTGAAGTAATGAGATTTGAGATAACACTACGATAATTTGGTCCTTATAATATCTAATGGTCTAACTTGTATTTCATCTGTTGATTGAACAGATCACATTATAAGGGGAATATTTGTTTCGAGGGTTGAAAGTTTGTATAATAAAGGGGAATTTACAACTGAGACAGAGTGTATATGTTCTGTTCATGACTACATAACGTTATTTTACAATTCTTGCTATCATTTCTGTTTGCAGCCTTACCCGTATCTGCACATCCGTAACAAGGAGTTTCCATGGGGTAATTCTGATACCTAAGATCTCTATTACGTTGCTTGTCAATGATTTCAAGTTTACTGTATCTCGTTTTTAATCATACCTGACCATGAGCTATATCAGAACATAGATCTTCTGAATATTAATCTGTTATCTAACTGAATTAATCCGATCGAGGCATCAAAAATGCTGTAGTATACTGTTCATCCTGTTTTCTCCTTGTTTGCACGATAATGGGTAGCCTGGTTTTTGAATGCTTTGTTTTGTCCCTTTGATGTAGTTATGATTTAAGTTGCTTGGACTCGGATGTGGGGGTCTGATACGGGTGTGGATCTAGAGATTGGGTCCTTCACGATCTATATTTTAAGATTCGGGGATATAGATAGAGGTGCAATGATTCGGCTAAAAATGATTTAAATATCTAAAAATAGAGTTATTATCTCTAAATTTGAGACACGGGAAAGCTTACAAGGTATTATGAAGAAAAATATTGATCGAGAGCAGAATCCTTGAAAGTTATAAGGAAAAAGATTGACATAGAAATTTCTATATACAAGATTACTCCATTTTCTTGAATTTCACCTTAGTTTTAGTTTTGGTTGCAAAAATCCTTGTATATATGTCCCAGATTTCTACATTGATTTTGGTCAAAGTGCACAAAATTGATTTGACCAAACAACTGCCCACATTCATGTCGTGTTGATATAGATGCAACACTGAAAGTGAAGAGTCCGAGCAACTTAGGTTACAAACTTACAATGTTGAAACATTTACAAAATTGGTCTTTTGAGTCTCATCCTCTCAATGAGTCATGAATATAACCGTTTTGGTGAGTGTTCAACTATGCGTCATCTCTTGACGCTTCCTTAGTTCAATCTAAAGGTGGAAGGGAAATAAGGACTTGAAGTAATGAAATCAACATTGTCACTGGTGCATTACCTTTCAATCGATAGCTCGTCCAGTTCCAGTATTACAGGGTTAAGTGAGTGACTTATTTCTGTAGTAGCTGAAAGATTCATGTGTGGACTAGTTTGTATTACATTTTTGTATGGTATAGAAACTGTTTGAAACTAAAATATTTTTGGCCCTTCCCGAATGCAGGTCCGGATGGCCTTTTCGAGAGGAAGCATCACTAAAATCTGTATATATATATTCGTGAAGGCTTTAAAAAGTTCAACGAACAGCATCATTGATTGAAGTTGTGTTGAATATGTTTGAATTTACTTCAGATGTTTTATGCTGATACTAAGGCCATATCTGTGATGTACTCTCTCCCTCTGGTGTTCTATATTGTGCATGTTATGTTTCTTTACAGTGTGCTCTCCACCAAATAAAAAATGAAGAGTTTGTTTAAATTGTTACCTATTTATACTCTATTGCCCGAGTGTAAGAGTGGCAAACAAATGGATATAATAGTCGATCCGATCCATATTTGATATGGAAAAAAATGGGTAAATCGTAAACCCGAATAATATGGATATTCATATAATTCATCATTTCTCATTACGTAAAGAAATAAGTTTTACATGACTTTTTTCTTAACCTCCTCGCCCTTCCCCATCTGTGTTTGTTTGACATGTTATTCTAGAAATTATTT